CAACACAACATGTTACTAAGAGACCCTACATCCTTCTAAAAGAACTTCTTTAAGGTTTCATTTCTAGTCCTACTCTTAATGGATGAACTCATTCATTAAGTAAACCTTAATCACACTTTACCGACCTAGGGCTTGTGACCTAAGTGACTCAACTAAATTGATCTTGACACCCCACTGGTCACAAAGCACGACCCAAATAAAGATCAAACCCTAAACCTACACTTAGGGTTTACCTTTATTTATTTTTGAATTAATTTAGAATTAAGCTCAAAATGAACTTGCTCCAAATGATCTTAAAAATTTACACAAGCGTCCTCATGATAAATTAGTGTACCAAAATAAATTTCATAATTTTTGGAGTTATACAGTGGCCTACAAAAATCATGGAAATTGCATTTATTAATTAATTGACTGAATTTTTTTACATTAAAAATTCATCCAAATTTCAAGTTCCATATTTTTAAACCATAGTAGAACATATCTAGAAGCTACCCACAAATTTTCAGAATTTTTAGATCTGTAAATAAATTCCTACAAAATTGCAAAATTGCTGCACTATTCAAAATTCAGAAATTAGAAAAAGCTCACTGTTCTCTCTCTCTCTGACAGGTCGACCCCGCGTGTCAGTGTCACAGAGACAGGGCGCGGCGGCGCTGCCGACTCCGACCGGCAAAACGAGCCGTCGGCGAGGCTCCGGCGAGGGGACTGGTACCAACATGATCACCACCTCACGGCGGACCTATCCCGACCCTTGGACAAGCAGCAGGCACACCGGAGATGACACTACGACGGCCATGGCGGCCACGGCGGCGATAAACACGGCGGCACACGGCGTATCACCGGCAACAACACAGTAGAGTCTAAAGCAAAGGGTGAAACACGATCAGGGACTCACCACGAACACGTTGATGTGCTCGGTGGAGTCAGAGACACTCTGGAACGTCCTGGCCACGGCGAGCTTGACGGTGGCGGAGCTCCGGCCGGGCTCGGGGAAGAAGCAGTTGCGCCGGGCGACTCCGGCCAACCCAAGTGGCGTAGGCAAGCCGTAGAGAGGCGCAAGGCCGAGGCGATCACATAGGCGTAGCTGGGCCCGACGAATGTTGCTCGATGGAGGCTACGGCGAGCGGCAGAGCAAGCTGGCGGCGGAGCAGAGCAGAAGGGGAAATGGGAGGACGACGGTGGCAATGAGGCTATTTATAGCCGGGATGAGCTCGCCCGGCTGCGACAGCGCACGACGGAGGCGCCACGGCGACGGTGACGTGCCTGCGCGCAGGAAAGTGGCGAGGACTGATCGGCGGCGGCAAGCATGAGGTGTAAAGCTGCTCCGGTGGAATTTCAATTTATTTACAGTTTTGCCACTGAGTTCATTTAGCAAATTACTCTCAAACTTTCTATAGAAGTTGAAAATCTCCCAAAATAAAAGTTGCTCAACTTTTCAAGTACTACAACTTTGGTTTAAGAAACATTTTCAAATTCTGCCTCCATTTCAAAATTTAAATTTGGGGTACATTTAAAGATTTGAATCATTTCAAAATTACTCCAAACTTTATATGTAAACTTTAAAAACTTTGTATACCAAAGTTGATCCTCATAAGATAAGCTTCAACTTTGCTTTTTGTCACAACCCCAAATTCCAAATGGATTTTGAAATATCCAAAAGGGGCAGAACGGACTTTTATAATTTAAATTTGAATTCAAATTTAATTTGTCTTTCTTTTGCTTTAACTTTGATTTTTGACCAGTAACATGGCCCATTAGGGTTGTTTGAGTCAAATGACACATGGTCTCACATGATCACATGAAATCTGACCCGTGTGGTCATGATCTTTATTTAACGTTTTGAATCACATTGCATCACATAAAATAACAACTTATGAAACAATTCTTATTTAGTGAATGCATTCCAAATTTTCTTCTTTATGAATGCTTTGCAATGCATATGATGACATGCCAAGTTTTAGTTCTAGGTCCAAACACCAGAGGTGTTACAGCGGCGCCTGCTCACGCTCCCACAACCTGTTGACGAAATGAAGGGTCAGTAGTTGTTTGAGATGGACAAGTCAGCAGGCTAGTCATCATGAGAAGCCCACGTTGAGGGATATGGACCTAAGTGATACAGCATATAAAGTTGATGGACCCAAAAAAGGCATTTTAAAAATTGATGGACCTAACTAAAACTTCCTCTTAGGTTAATAAACCTCTGATGCATTTAACTCTATTTTGTTTAAACATCAGACCTAGAGCATGTTTGGTTCTCGTCTTGAGAAACGCACCTGACCCAGACATTAACAAGTGTTCGATTTCCATCGTTCAGTATTTGATTAACCCGCCTAGCATGATCGGTCAGACGAGGACATCACGCCCTCAGTGTTGGAACTCATACAACTAACTTTGTTTTCTAAAATTTGTTTATCATGAATATTTTGCTTCTATCTAATCTAATTAAGAATATAACAATATTTCTTATTGGAAATAGTTTACATTTTCTAAAATATAAATAAATAAACCTAACCAGCAAACACATCGTTTAGTTTACAACCAGTGGCGGATCTAGGATTTAATGGAAGAGGGGGCTGAAGTCTCTTCAACCTCTAAAAGCCCCTCCTTTCTCTTTTTTATAGGGAGATACTAGTGCCTGGACGTCAGGATAGAAGCGCGTGTCCGGATGCCGGCGCCTCCGTCACGCATGCCTGCGGAAAACGCCGTGCCTGTCGCTCCTTTCCCAGACCCCCTCTTCTCTCTTTAGCGAGTCCGGATGCCAGCGCCTCCTCCCCACGCTCGCCGCTCCTTCCACCTGAACCCCCTAATCTCTCTCCGTGCGGGCGGGACCTGGGAACCGGGATGAGGACGAGTGCGCCCCGTCCACACGACCCCAGGTGTGCCGCAAACATCGATCGCTGGCCTCAGCACGCCCCATCCGCTGGCCTCGGCTCACCGCGCCCCATCACCCAACGCCCGAGCCATGCCCTCATGACTCTCTACCTCTGAAATATGAAATACTTGGATACAACATACGTCTAAAGCAGATGAAACATTTGGAACATATACTTGAAACATGTGTTGAAACATATGCAACATCCAGATAAAACAATTGTAACTTGCAACATGAAAACACTTATTGCAACATAGGACTGAAACTACTGAAACATATGGAACATACCCTTGCAACATGTGTGTGAAACATGTGCAACATCCAGATCAAAACGATTGCAACATACGCCTGAAATAGATTAAACATTTGAACAAACGCTTGCAACATGCCTCTAAAACACTTGCAACATATGAACATCCTGATCTACTTTTGCAACATCCATATCAAACACTTCTAACACACCTCTGAAACATCTAAATACTTGAAACATATATTTGTAATATAGCGGAAGGGGCCGGGGCCGGTCGATTCCGTCCTCGAGGTGTGAGCCGGCAGTGAGCGGCGGCGTGCGAGCACCACCAGCACGGGTTGCGCTTGTGGGTGCCCTTGGCTCGGCAAGGACCGACCTGAGGCGCGCGATGGCAGCACCAGCAGAGGCGGGGTGACACGCGCGGCGAGCGTGGGAGCAAGCGGCTCGACCAGTAGAGGTGGGCGCACGACGGGCAGGAGAGAGAAGCGAGTGGTGCAGGCTAGGCACGCGCGACGGTAGCACCGGCACCAAAAGAGGCGGGCGACGTGCTCGGGAGCAAGCGACCTAACCAACAGAGGTGGCCGCACGCGATGGGCAAGATATAGGAGCAAGCGACGCAAGCGGGGCGCTCGAGGCGAGGGAAGAGACAGCAATAGCGAGATGGAGTGGGGTGCGCGGCGTACGGACATATGGATTCCCGCGTAGGAGCATTACCCTTTTTTATATCTACAAAAATTAGGATGTATTATGTTTTGACATCTTTATCTTTTGAAATCAAATGAATCCATTCTTTCACCTTTCAATGCAGTGCCGCCATCCGTTTCAATTTCAGATGTTCAAAGAAAATCTATCATCTCTGCCAACGGAAGTAACATGTGCAGGATGTATTGCCTATCTATAAAAGACTATAAATGTGAGAGGTCACGTCGTCGTTACTGTTCATCCGGCGCGCCCTCACATACCACTGTATAAACAGTAACGGATCACGATGAACAGTGCCCGCCCCTACTTTTTCCTTTTTTTTTCTTAGGCCACGTTTAGTTTCCCTAATTTCATAATTTGACACTATGTAAAAGGAAGATTTTCCGTCACATCAAGCTTGCGGTATATGTGTGGAGTACTAAATGTTGACGAAATTAAAAACTAATTGCACAGTTTGGTTGTACTTTACGAGACGAACGTTTTGAGCCTAATTAATCAACGATTGGACAATTATTACCAAATAAAAACAAAACAGTACCGCTGGAAATTCGGCGGCCCCGATTCAGTGGCCGAACTAAACGAGGCCTTATTTTTTTTCCTTTCCTCTCCTTCCCACGCGAAGCGTGGGGGCGCACGCTAGTTACATTATACAGTTAACTTCATAAAGATCTGACCTAAATATAATCGAGTTGGATGAACTACGAAACAAAAAAGGGTAACTTTAGTCGTCACTAGCTGCATTAGTGTACACTGTCCAGTACACTGTGTACCAGATGATTTAGCAGTATTTTTTAATAAACGAACAGTATTTTTTTTTCTCACAACAAATTACCCAATGGATCAGCGTAAGCTGAATTTCAGCGATTTTCACGGTACACGCCGCACTGTGAATTTCTCAGGTCTTTGGCTCCTTGCACGGATCAGTGAACTCGCTATCCTTAACGGACAACACAAGCGACGTTGATGCCCGATTACACCAACCTTAACCATCCTCCACCGGCTGCGCCCTCTCTGCTACTGCCAGCAAGCCGAGCCCTCGAACCTTCCAGTTCCGCTCCATCCATCGCCGCCCTCCTCCTGAGCACCCGAAACAAGAGCAGCGGCAGCCGCCAACTAGCAGAGACGGCCACGGCGGCGCCCGCGCCCGCGCCCGCGCCCGCGCGCACCCTCCCGACGATGCGGCGAGCCACACTCTCGCTCGCGCTCGGGCTCTCCCTCTTCGCCCTCTTCGCGGCTCGGGGCGCCGACGCCTCAATCCACGAGTACGCCGGCGGCGGCTTCGCGCCGCGGGCCAACTCCTTCTTCTTCCACGGCGGGAGCGAGGGGCTCTACGCGTCCGACCCCTCATCGAACTCCTCCGCATCCTTCATCAGGTACGCCGTACGCGCCCGCCACCGCATCCACCCGGTCCTCGCTCCCTCGGCTCGCCTTTCCCCGCGCCCCTAGGGTTTTGCGGATCGTGTACGCATCGAGGGGGTGCTGGTGGGCAGGATCAGATGGGACTGCTGAATGCGTCGCATTTTGTTGATCTCGGCCGAGCTAGTTCCGGGGCAATGGTGTGTGCGACAGGTAGTGTAAGAGGGTTTGGTTTGGGACGGCAGGAACTTCTGCCGACAAGTTGCGTTCCTCGTGGTTGCGTCTTGAGTGTTTGCCCTGAATTTTAGGGCTCCGGCTGTTTCTTTTGATATTATGTGTTGGATCAAGTGGAAATTCTTGCAGTTTTGTGCTCAGGTAGACTGATCTATTGACTTAGTTGGAAACAGCTGCTAAAAGGTAGTTATTGTTTTATGTGAGTCGTGATCTAGTGTATGTCGCAGTCAGTTTGACTGCCTTAGTTCAGCTCTAGTTTTGTTTGCCTGGCATGTGACGAGGCTGGGATTACAGTAGGTCCTAAAAGTTGGTTATTTCCTTTTAGTCGTTTGTGATCCACTATGTTGCAGGCAGCTTGAAGCCTTGACTACTTATGTTTTTAGAGGGTTTTACCTGTATGCCGTTATAAAAGTTTGTAATTACCTACAGGCCACTAAAAAGTTCGAGCGGTCGTAGGTGCCACTGGTCGGAACTTTTTTGCCCTCTGCGCCATTCCATCCACATTTGGTGCTAACGGTGTCAAACTACGGTGAGAAAAGTCTAAATTGCCCTCGTGTCTTAGCGTCATGCAAAAGTTTTATGTTTCCTCGGTGCCACTGAAAGTCTGAACGATGCCCAGCACGCCCGCCGTGACAAAGGCCGATGCCCATTCATTGTTGATGCGTGAACCCACGGGGCCGGCCGATGTAGGAGCGCACGACGGGCATGATGACAGTCGTAGACGGGGATCCAGACGATGACGTTGATGGTGTCCACCATGGAGAGTGTCACCGAGGGGCGAGGGGGTCTTGAACTTGGGCCCCTTGCGCTGGTCCAGCGTGTTGCCAAGTATCTCCGCCGCCTCCTGGTACGCGCCCCGCTCCGTGGCCGCCCTAGCCACTGCCATGTCCTCGATTGCCTCTAGCCGGACGTGCTCCCGCTCCACCTCCGCTGACCGTTCCGCGTCCGCTGTGTGCTCCGGCGCACCTCGCCACCACCATGTCCTCCGGGATGGCCGCAAGCCATGGCGACGCGGGCCACCTGCACCACGACGGTGAGCATGCCGCTGATGCACTACGCGAAGGCGTCCTGGATGACCGCCTCATTCTCGATGAAAGAGAACGTCCCGCCGGTGGCCTCTGCAACGACCTGCATCGCCGCCGCGTCATGGTCGTTGCCGAAACCAAAGGTGTGGATGGGCGCAGAGCCCTCGCTGGCGCTGCCACTGTCAGGCACGAAGGACGGTGGCACACGTACCTCGTACACTGCCCCGCGCCGGACACGGTGTCGCGGCATGCTGTAGTCGTCCCGGCCGTCGGAGAGGAGAATGATGGTGGAGACGGCGTTCCGGTACCGACACTCGCCGAGCACCTTGGAGGCCGTTCTGAGCAGCAGCCGAATCACGCTCTTGAGCTTCCTCGTGCGGGATGCTGACCTTCTCCAACGAATGTTTAGAGTTTGCTTTGAACTACATTGCGATTCATTACGGTAGGATACAGTCACATTGGCATCCCATGCATGCGGGCTCCAGCAGACACCCGCAGGCCTCGTTTTGGAGCTTGGCCGCATTGCAGTCCCTGGAGGCTGCGACGAGCAGGACTTGGTCGAAGCGCGCGACGCGGCCGCACACATACCTCGCACACCAGCTTCAGCACCGTGGTCTTACCCACGCCGCCGGCGCCATGGACGCCGAGCGCGGCACCAAAGTCGCCGAGGAAGCGGAGCGCCTCGTTGAGGTAGGCCCTCCAGCTCCTCGAGGTCGTAGAGCAGAGGAGGCGGCGCCTGCGGCGTGGCCAGCGCGGCGTTGAGGATCGCTGCGTCCTGCTCCCGGAGCGCACACACCGCCTTGAGCTGCTGCTCGACTAGCCCCGCGATCGGTCCCATGCGGAGGAAGAGGCACTGCACCAGGCGGACCACGTACAGCTGCCCGCCGTCGTGCTCCACCTTGATGGACGCCATCTCGTCCTGTGCCTCCTACACGCGCCGCAGCCGTGCGCTCCGCACGGGATCCAACGACGGTGACGGGTCGTGGCCTAGCACCTCGGACCGCTGCCGCAGCAGGGCCTCCACCGCGTCTGCCAGCTCTGACCCGTCAGTCAGTGCCAGCCAGCAGGGGCCACCACATGCCAAAGAACAGCACCAGCACCGCGCCGCTGAGGGCGAGCGAGCGGAGGAAGAAGAGGATAAGGTACGAGAGACAGAGGGCATTTTTGACATCTTCACTGGCTGGACCCATGTGTCAGGGCAGTCAAACAGCAAAAAAGCGACAGAAGGTGGACGGAATGGCGTGGAGGGTAAAAAAGTTCCGACCAGTGGCACCTATGACCGCTCGAACTTTTTAGTGGCTTGTGGGTAATTACAAACTTTTATAATGGCATACAGGTAAAACCCTCATCTTTTTACTGTTAATTCTTAATTTGCATCTTGAGCATTTGCCATTCCTAGGGTTCTTGCTGCTGCTTTTAGTACTATATATATGTGTGAGGAATCAAGCCATTTGTTTTACAATTTGGTTTCATGTAGGCTGATCTGTTGACTTGTTTGGATATAGCTGCTAAAATTTAGTTAGTGTTATATCTGAGTTGCAGTGATTTAGTGTGTGTCACAGTGCGTTTGACCACCTTGCATAGTTCAGTTTCTTTGTTTTGGCTGCTGTGTTATGACTTATGGGGCTGGAATCGGGGAGCATTAGTGCCTCGCATCAAGCCTCCAATAAGGGGATACAAACAATCATTGTTTGGATGGTGTGTATCCTCTATGTATCAAGTTCTAGTATGATTGTCATGCTCTGATGCCATGAACATGTGAAAGACAGTAAAGTTAGCTTAGGTTCTGTATCATGGCACATGTCGTGTCACTGTTATTACTGTGCAGAGCAGTGGAGTAGTGGACATTAGGTCAACTGTTTTGGAGCATCCATTTCATTAAGCATTTTGTTCACAAACAATTTCGTGGTAAACAGCATGGGTTAACAACAAAGTATCGTGACAATAAGAATGACATGGTTAGATGTCTTTCAAATCTTTACTCTTCTGTGATCTAATGGACTAATCTTTCAGATTTGACACCGTCATTTTTCATCGCACCCTGGAGTCAGCATCTAGGCATGAGGAGATGCAGCAAAAGACAGGATTGGTGGAGGCTATAATTGTTGAGATACAGGACAGGGACAAAATTGGAGGTTCATACCTGCACTCTGATGCAATATGCTGCACGCCTGAGCTTGATAAGGAGAAATCTTGTAGAGTAGGTGAGGTGATCATACGTCCAAATCCTGAGAACCCTGACTGGCCTAAGAGGATCCAGACATTCTTTGATGGTAAAAATGAAGAAACCACTATGGTAACTCAAATTGTATCGATAAACAAAACAGGGATGTATTACCTCTATTTTATGTTCTGTGATCCTCAACTTAAGGGATTGAAGATTACAGGAAGAACTGTTTGGAGAAATCCACAGGGTTATCTCCCTGGTAAAATGGCTCCAATGATGACATTTTATGGTTTCATGTCACTTGCATATCTTGCACTTGGACTTATATGGTTCATTCAGTTTGTGCGATGCTGGAAGGACATTTTGCAGCTGCATTACCATATAACAGCTGTTATTGCTCTTGGCATGTGTGAAATGGCTTTCTGGTATTTTGAGTATGCTAACTTTAATTCAACTGGAACCAGACCTATGGGCATTACCTTGTGGGCAGTTACATTTACAGCTGTGAAGAAGACTGTTTCTCGGCTTCTTCTATTAGTAGTTTCGATGGGCTACGGTGTTGTTCTACCCACATTGGGTGGCATAACATCAAGAGTTGCTGCTCTTGGTTTCATCTATTTTATTGCTTCAGAAGCTCTTGAACTTGTTGAAAATCTGGGAAATATCAATGACTTCTCTGGAAAGACAAGGCTATTCCTAGTGTTGCCTGTTGCCGTACTTGATGCTACCTTTATCATCTGGATATTTTCATCCCTCTCTAGAACTTTGGAGAAGCTCCAGGTAACCACTTTCTGCCCTTACTAGTCCCAGAATATGTTTCCTTTTATGTTTAGCTAGGTTATGCACCATGCAGCCTGTTACTATGAAGTATGGCCATGTATGATTGATTCTAGCACTTCCAGTCTTTCTGAAAAATATCTAAATGGCTTCACAGTGCATTCGCTTACATATTTGCAATCCTTAGCTAGTTACACGTCATATTAATCTCCCAGTACTAAATTATGACTGCCTGTCATGTGTTTTACATTCTCACTGTTACAAAGTAGCCCTGGTTTTGTGCCTATATCTTAACGAAATGACCCCCCCCCCTGTCACATACCCAGTGCTCATCTGGTTTTAATTTTATTACAGCTGCGGAGAAGCATGGCAAAACTTGAATTATATCGGAAGTTTACAAACTCTCTGGCTGTGTCAGTGCTTATCTCAATCGCTTGGATTGGCTATGAGGTATCTTTTATCAACTCTAAAGTTCATTTATGTGGTCCATGTAATGTAGATATCATATAGCCCCTAGAAAGCAGTTGCCTCATGGGAATGACCGAATGAGCATAGGAGCAAGAGCCAAGTTCTATGTCGATTCCCCTCTTCTATGTGGTGATCATTAAAATAGGTTTGGAGATGTCCATAGACACTTTATTTTAGCCATTGTGACCATAGATCTGCTTGATAAATGTATGAGAAAAAAATCTAAAAACCCTATTTTTCAGCAATTCATATTGATTATGGTCTGGCTTGTTTTTGTCTTGAATCAGCTATATTTCAATGCAACTGACCCGTTGAGTGAACTTTGGCAACGGGCTTGGATCATCCCCTCCTTTTGGAATGTCCTTTCCTATGCGCTCCTCGCCATCATATGCATCCTTTGGTCTCCATCTCGCAATCCAACAGGGTAAACTTTTGACTATGATTTTCATTTTTCTCATTTGAGTTGGATTGTTTGTTTGAGTTGGCTTTCCTTGTAAACAATATGGTGTCAATTGTAGTACCGTATCTCATCATATAAGCTGTCATTGTCATCGATTTATACTACACCCTGTCAAGAAGGCTTATTTGCTTACTGCAGATGGTTGTTTTTAGCAGCAGCACAAGCATATATTCTGAAACAGATTTACAATCATATTCTTTATTTCTTTATGATATTCATAATGAACTTTGCTGAAGCAACTTCTATGATCCTTAAGATGTTCCCTATTCAACTATATATTAATCCATTTAATCTTCGGATATGTATATTTCACGTTGATAATTAATCTCAGTTAAGCATGTCAATTCCTGATACATCATGAGTTTTTAGCTGTGTGCTTCCCCGATTCCCAACTTAGGTTTTCACTGTTCCTGTAATGTACAGGTTTGCATATTCAGAGGATGCAGGTGAGGGAGCTGATGAGGAAGGGCTCTCTCTAGTAGGCAGTGCAGTGAAAGGAACTGGAGATATGGTAAACATGCATATCTTTCCGGAGGATAAACGTGCATGATAAGTTTTGGCCTGAATGCAGCTGTACTCCTGGCAGAATGCTATGGTATGTGCTCATTTTGTCAGGAAACGTACATATGAATGCATGCATTGATGGCATCTACTGCCCTACTAATATTGTCTAATGCCTTGTTAGCATGTTAGTGCATGGTGAACTTGATTAGCGAGCTCTGTACTTCAACTTATGCTATCCCTAGGCTTCTTGTTGAGTGAGCTCAAAGCTTCGCCCCAGATCTTTATTGACTTAGCTCCTTTCTTGAACCTTGCCTCTTATCTTTTAGTCAATCCTGTTCCTATGGGGCGTATTTATTTATTGCACATTTCCACTCTTCTTAATTTTACAGCAACGAACAGTAAAAGGCTAAAAGCCATTTCCCTTCTACACACAAAAACTTTCATAATTATTAGTCTTCTAGGTTGTTTTTGTTACCAGCTGGCAGCGCACCTTTTGACTTTTGTATAACAGCCTCAATTGCATTTAAGTGTCATTTCTCTCTGAATTTTTGTGTAATCTTTTTTAATATTTTGTTCTCATTGCAGTGAAGTACCTTTTTTCCTCTGGATTCACGACTAGCTGACATCTTCTAAAGCTTGCGTAAGATTCCAGATGTACAGGTGGTGACTTGTGTTGAACGATTTGACCAAGAGATTTTTACTTGTCCAGTTGTGGCTACTCAATACAAAAGGTCGGCATAATAAACTATCACTTTGAGAGCATAAGAGGGTTAGTCTTTGTAATCCTTGTGAGGTGATGTAACTCGTAGGAGGTTGAAATGTATCATTGCCAGAGCTGAAATGTATAAAAAAATGTGCCGTGGATCTAATGATATATTTGCGATTGATTATGCACTTATCGTGTTATTAGCTGCAAAAAATTAGCTGGGTGTCAGTTATGACACCTAGTTAACTACTATCCTCTCCGTCTTGAATAGTAAGCGTAAGCGTATTTTGATCAGAGAAAGTAATATGGGATTAGCAAGTTAACCAACATGTAGCAATCTTTAGACGACGATTCTTTGTATTTTGATCAGAGAAAGCAATATGGGATTAGCAAGTCAACCAACATGTAGCAATCTTTAGACGATGATTCTGTGTTTGGTTTGTGGAGTCATTCTATGCTTCATGAGGTAATGCATCATGAGTTTATTTATTTTATGAATTTTGGTGAAATCAACCCATTCCTCATGCATATATTAATTATTAGCTTGTGAGAAATAAGATTGTGATGGATCAATTCACACAAACCAAATAAAAAAAGTGAGTGAGAAGAAGATACACCACCTCATTCTTCAAACTAAACGCACCTAGTTTTCATTCTATACGCTAAGACAGCCGAGCTAGGTCCTATTTCCAACCTGTGCACTGAGACAGCCGAGCTAGGCTTGTATCAATGAGTGATCGTTTGCCTAGTGTGGGTTAACTTTGGTAGTTTGCTTATAGTTTAGTTTGGTGGCTTGACATACAAGTGGTTTTTAGGGGCCTCTCTGGCTGGACTAGAGACGGCAATAGGCACAAAGCCGCTAGGTTTTGACAACACAAACCTATGTCCATGACCATAAAATGGACTTGTTTAAAAACCCATGACCTGTCACAAGTTTAATTTTGTGCCTAAACCCGTACTCACTTGGGTCATGGGTACCCAACGGGTCACCCTGTGTCCACAAAAGCAAGCACACCATGTGAGTGCCAGTAATAAGTATACATATTCACAATTATCATATACTCTACATAGTACAATGAAAAATTAACATAAATGATAAATTAAATTTCACCAACCATTCAACATTGAGCCACCATAGTTCATATATTAATGGCATACATATATCAACTAGTCAGGATCTCAGCTTCTCGGGCGGCGTGACACAGAAGCTGTGTGAATGCATGATCTAGATGCATGCCACCGTTGTAGTATTGCCGGGTGTGCGAGGGGGGGGGAGGAGTGACCTAAGCTAGGGTTTTGTGATGGGAAGTCCGTCTTATATATGCCTCTAATGGACCAATCTAGTTGCGAAACTTGGGGTATTGTCGGGTATCGATATTAGGGATACCCAAAGCAAGGAAGTTAGCGCCCACGCTGACTTCCCCAGATGGGGCAAGACGTATTAAAAAGTCTCGCCCGACCCCAAGGCCGCGGGCTCCGTCTCGCCTGACCTCGAGGCCGCGGGGTCTTGCCCAAGGACGCGGGCTCCGTCTCGCCCGACCCCAAGGCCGCAGGCTCCGTCTCGCCCGACATCGAGGCCGCAGGGGTCTCGCCCAAGGCCGCGGGATCCGTCTCGCCCGACCTCGAGGCCGCGGGCTCCGTCTCGCCCGACCTCGAGGCCGTGGGCTCCGTCTCGCCCGACCCCTAGGCCCTGGGCTCCGTCTCGCCCGACCCCTAGGCCGTGGGCTCCGTCTCGCCCGACCCCTAGGCCGTGGGCTCCGTCTCGCCCTACCTCGAGGCCGCGGGCTCCGTCTCGCCCTACCTCGAGGCCGCGGGCTCCGTCTCGCCCAACCTCGAGGCCGTGGGCTCCGTCTCGCCCGACCCCTAGGCCACGGGTTCCGTCTCGCCCGACCCCTAGGCCACGGGCTCCGTCTCGCCCGACCTCGAGGCTGGGGGCTCCGTCTCGCTCGACCCCTAGGCCCTAGGCTCTGTCTCGCCCGACCCCTAGGCCGCGGGCTCTGTCTCGCCCGACCTCAAGGCCGCGGGCTCCGTCTCGCCCGACCTCGAGGCCACGGGCTCCATCTCACCCGACCCCAAGGCCGCAGGCTCTGTCTCACCCGACCCCAAGGTCGCAGGCTCTGTCTCGCCTGACCCCAAGGCCGCAGGCTCTGTCTCGCTCGACCCCTAGGCCGTGGCTCCGTCTCGCCCGACCTCAAGGTCGCGGGCTCCGTCTCGCCCGAACCCTAGGCCACGACCTTGAGGCCACGGGCTCCATCTCGCCTGACCTCGAGGCCGCGGGCTCCGTCTCGCCCAACCCCTAGGCCGCGGGCTCCGTCTCGCCCGACCTTGAGGCCGCGGGCTCTGTCTCGCCCGATCCCAAGGCCGCGGGCTCCGTCTCGCCAGACCCCTTGGGTGCAGGCTCCATCTCGCCCGACCCCTCGGGTGCGGGCTCCGTCTCGCCTGACCCCAAGGACGCAGGTTTCGTCTTGTTCGACGGGGACCCATACCGCCGCCAACCACTTCAGATCCAAGCGTATGGGCCTGGGTCAAAACTCCGACACCAGGAAAGAGACCGGCACACCTCGATGTAACATGTGGCCATCATAGGCCATACCTGAGGATTCACATCAAGAACAGCGTCGGGCGTGCCGGTGCTGTTCTGCCTAACCCTCGTACGAACGCTGACAGATGCGTCAGTTCACCACGACGTCCGCTGGGACAGAATGGAACGCCATGACCGGCAGGTGACGCCTGCACATGGCGCCAGTGACGAATAGGGCCACGACGTGGAGCCATCCTTGTTGACATCTATAGGATCGGCGGGACCCGCATGAAGGAGAAGAAGGACCCGGCGATCCTGGAAGCCTTATTCTATCTCTCGTTCTTCTCCTTTTCCTCCACTGTAACCCGCGCTTTCTCTTCGCCTACAAAAGGGAAAGTAGGGCACCCCATGAAGGTGGATCTAGATCCGCACGAGATCGAACCACGAGATAAAAACATAAGAGCACGACATGAGCACACGGCTGAGTAGCGATCGAGCTCTCAGCACCCGCTCACTCTTTTCATCAGAGACTTGGGATTCTTTCCCTCTCTCACCTATTTCTAACCCCTACTGCAAACCAAGTGTCGGTAACACGAGCAACAGCAAACTGGACATAGGAATGTTTCACCCAAACCAGTATAAACCCTTGTGTCCTCCGAGCACACCATCCGAGCCAGACATGCAAATACAAACTTACTCGTCGGTGGTACGAAAACACCAACAGTTGGCGCGCCAGGTAGGGGCTTTTTGCGTGTATCGACGTCCACATCAGGTCTCGGATGGCTAGTCATGGTGTTGGCTGGGTCCCAGGCACGCACGTGTGCTTCGGGAACTTGGACTTCATCATTTCGACGGAGGGAGAGTTGGCGCAAGTTCCCACCGCCGTCCAATCTCTCCACTCCGCTGGCCTCGACACGATCACCGAGGTGCTTGAGGAGCTGCAGCTGCACGTATCGAAGGCCCACGCCCCCGGGAGCGACCAACTCCTCGGCTTCGATTACGAGAGGTTAGAGCGCCAGCTCGATGCCTTCCTAGGACCCCGGCCATCCCGGGAGGACCTGGGCCGCCTCACCTTCTCGTTCGCCAATGTCATGACACAGCTTGCCGGAGGAGAGCCGCTCTGCCTAGAATACCTCATCTGGACCGCCCCGACAGCGCTCATGTTCGGTCTACGCATCGCCGCTGAGACCGTTGGCCACCTTATGGCGCAACGCGTGCCCCCACCCCCTACGAACGACGAGTTCGTGGGGATGACCGAATATGTCACGGAATCTTTCCATGACCTCCTCGTGGGAGAATCAAAGTCGTCCTCCGACTCTGACTCCAGTAGGAGGAGCTATCACCCCTCGCGTGAATGTTTCATGGCAGGTACCCCCGAGGGATATGTCAAAAGCATCCATGAGGGAGAGGCTACCCCAACAAACGACCTCAACGATGAGGTCGAGGGGGATGCAGGGGCCCCACCTCGCCTGCGGGTAGAGCAGCTAAAGGCCTGGCACCAAGAGCTCATGAAGCATGACTCCAGCTCGAGCAGGAACGCGTGGAGCTCTAACAAGAGATCGAGCACCATGGAGACGGTGGGCGTGCACACGCCGTGGCCCGCAACGTGAACCGGAGGATCATCGAGGATGATGAAGCCCTCCCACACTTTACCCGGGCAAGCCAAAACATCACTGCTGCGGCGGCCTTGCTCCAAGGGCTTCCGGGGCCCGCGATGCCCGAGGATCATCGGGCCCATCGTGAGATTCACACGCTACTCGAGCGTGCGGCGGCGCAGCAGGCCGAGAGCTCGCTGTCCCGACGACTTGAGCTCGGCGCTAGCCAGCACGGGACCTCAGAGCGACCCGATAGGGATGTGTTATTCCACCAGGCACAGCAAGGCGGTAGGCCACGCATCACGGTCCTAGTGCATGAACGTCTCGGCCTCCACCGTGACGTGTGCGACACCCTCGACGCCCGCAGGCGTACCCACGGTGATGCGAGGGAGGAGGCTAGCCGTGGCTACCACCCTCGTCGTGGTGGACACTACGACAGCGGCGAGGACTGAAGCCCAAGCCCTGACTTTCTGGGACCTCAGGCCTTTGGCCGACACATCATCAACGCCGTCTTCCCACCGCGGTACCAACCGCCAACCAACATCCCGAAATACTCTAGGAAAACGAACCCCGGACTGTGGCTCAAGGATTATTGGCTTGCTTGCCAAGCCGGTGGAGCAGATAGTGATGATTTCATTATCCGCAACCTTCCATTGTTCCTTGCCGATTGGGCGCGAACGTGGTTGGAACACCTTTCGCCCAACCAAATCCAAAGTTGGGTGGACCAAAAAGAGATCTTTGTGGAAAACTTCTAGGGCATATACGC